AGGTGGATTTATCACAATTTGATGTTTATAATCAAATGATAACGGTAGACGTTGAAGCAGTACTTGATACTATAACGGTAGGGCCGAGATTGTCTTTAAAGTGTTACCAATTGGCCTCGCGGAGATTGTTTGTAGGGTTGTGGGTGAGCTGGAAAACTCTGTAAAAATAAAAAAACAGGAAGGTGTGAGGTACGAAATTTCCTTCCTAGATGGGGGTGAATAGGCTAACGGATTGGCGGATTCTGAGAATTATTTTGCCCGCGGATTTGGGATTTAGGGCGAATCTTAATATTAAAAACGCAGTAAAAAAAAGAAAACGAAACCAAATAAAATTAGCGAAGGGCAATGAAAATGAAATTCAATATCAGTTGCTGCGACACCAAGCAATACAATTAAAATGTGTTTTAGGTCTTTATATCACTTTTTCAAACACGCACAATTTCGATCAACTCAGGCACTTCTTTCTGGGCATTAAAATCAAATCAAATACGTTCTGACGAACGTTTTTTATACGTGGCGGCAATTTTTAACACTTGAGGTCAGTAAAATCTTGAATTCTTTTTCCTAAATCGAGTAAATGTGTTTTTTTTTTTAAGTAAGCGTGCCGCATCAAAAAAATGAGAATCTCTTCTGTTAACGATCTCTGCCGCTACAGATAATATCAAGTCTTGAAATTTCCTTGAAGAATTATTCCCCTACGGATATAGACAAAAATAGTCCACGATTAAAGCTCTTTTTGGTTGAAAATAACGATGCTCTTATAACATAATAAGTAAGCCACTAGCTTCATTTGACCATTCAGCACAAAAGTTTGTTAAACGTCCAAAGTATGTCATACCAATTGGAGACGTATCCTATACATTTAGGTTTATACCATATCCGTTGAAGGAATTAAGAAAACGCATAGCCGAGGAATAAAAGTGAGGCGAGACATCTTGAGAAGAAAGCAATGTACCACCAAAAGTTTCAGAACAGCTGTGTACGCTTCGTTCCAATGCTTAAAATTGAAAACACTTCTTCTAAACATCATATTTCATTCTCATCAATCGTTCCATAGCCAATAGGTTGAAAATATCATTGTTTCCCGTGGATTTGCAATAATTTTTATTTCATTAACTTTTGACCTAGTGTATTTATTTTTTAGCAGAGTAATGGTGTGAACTTGGAAAGGTCCTTGATGCGGGACAGAGAAAGGTAATCTCTCATCTTTAAAGTAAATAATATTTCGCAGAATTGGTTTTCTTCAACTGAATGGCGGATACCTCGTCTACAATTCTAGAAAAATGAAGGAAAGCTAAGGTTATCACATAGTTCATCATTAAAATAAAAGAAAAGGAAAACAATACTTCAGTTCAGTTCAATAGCCCTTATCGCATTTACGCCCACTGTACGAGAGCTCAGCGGACTTTGAAGTTTCGAAACGAGGCTGTCGGGTCACACAGGTAAAACTTTCAAGTAAAATCGAGGCAAACGTTTATGTTTGGAGGCATTTTTATTCATTTTCTTAAGGATACAGCGTGTTCTCGTCATGGTTAGATATTGTATTGCGTATGGGTGCAATAGTCAATTCAGTGAATGGGCAACTGACGAGATCCACAAGATTAGGATCGAAACCGCGGTCTTGCCAAACACGTTCAACTATCAAAGTAGAGGCGAACAAAACGGACATAAAAAGCCTCTCAAATAAAGAACTTACAAACGACCAGATTAATTTACTGGCAAGAGAAATGGGTCTGAAATTTGCAGGATTTGCTTTAGATCCCGTTTTGTGGATAGGTGTTAGGGTGGCGTGCTTCCAATCAGGTGGAATTGAACCTTCATTGATGCCTCGACTTAGCAGTACTGTGAGAGGCTTGGAAATTGCTGGAGCAACATCCTTAATTAGAAAGTCATGAAGATTTATTAGTCCAGTTGGTTTGTTTTCTTTGATCTTGAGAAGTTCTTTTTGAACAAATTCTTTGCTTATTTGAGATAAGCTGAAGGTGTAGGCAGGTTGCTCCTGCACTTGGTTAGGTAGGTGTTGTTTTTTCCAGTAGCCGAGATCTAAGTAACAGTACTGCACTGTAGAAATATTGGGCAAAGCCATTAGAGATAACATCGAGCTCAAGAGATATGCCAGTTGTGGTTTCCAATGAACTAATAGAAGTGGTTTTCTTACTAGTCGATATAGCATTTTTTAATATTTTCCATAGCTTAGATGAGTCCTTCATATTTTCATCAATAATGCTTGAGTAGTAATCACGTTTAGCGGTCCTAATGAGATCAGTTGTTTGGTTTTTAAGGTTTCTAAACGTGGCCCATTCGTGAGGTGATTTCGTTCTTTGTACGTTTTTATGATGTAAATCACGACGTTTAATCAATGTTCTAACTTCATCGTTTAAACACGGTAGCGTTTCGGCGCGAACTCTATTTTTAGTCCTAGGAGCATGCTTCTCCATAATTCTTCTGAGTGTAGATTTAAACGAGTTCCATGCATCGTTGACCGTCAATGAAGACTCGACGCTGTCCCAAGAGGCATTATGCATATCAGAGATGTGGTTATCTGATGTGGTTAATAATTTCTAAAGTTTCTACAATTGATGATTTTAGGACTATTTCGTGGTGTTTTAGGTTTCCTGATAACGTAGATTAGCGAGTGATCAACGATGGAACATTGAAGAACACCAGAGGCAACAATCATGTGCGTGTCAGTAGTGAACGCAAGGTCTACTAAAATAGAAGTTTGTACGGTGACTCTAGTTGGCGACTTTATTAGTTGAGTGAATTGACATGTAGTAAGTGTTCGATTTAATTCCCTCTTATCAGCAGTGCGCTTTTTCGAGGACATATCGCAATTTAGGTCTCCAAATACTAGCGTCTCCTTACCCTCGAGTGCAACTTGACCCAGAACACTACTTAAGTCAGTTTTGAATGAGTTGAAATCCGCAATTGGTGGCCTATAGATAGAAAAAACCAATACTTTACTTTTGTTTGGAAAACATAATTCCATCCAAGTTGTTTCAAGAGTGTCAATATTGAGGTCTTGCCGTTCGCGACCAGTAAGCTTTGAATTGTAGTATTTTGCTGTACTACCACCTCCTCTTGTCCAGTATAACATTCAGTCTTTGTTCAATGAAAACAATAGCGAGAACAATAGAACTCCGCAGAGACTAGTAGTCTTGGTTTTCAAAATTTGGATTTTTTTTCTAAGTCTTTTTCGAAACAGGGTAAATTCGGCGTGTTTTGACTTTGCAAAACGGAAAATTTAAGTGTGCCATTTTAAGACCAGGTCGATTAAGGACAGGATAATACCAACCTGGGTTTGGAGAAGTATCACCAGCAAGTAGAATCAAAGCTAGGGAGCTAAGATTTAGGAGCTTCGTCAGTACATAGTTATTAACTATGGTCAGTATTACTATCTTGGAACGTGTAGCGATAGGCAAAGGTGTTCGACGCTGAGTTGGTCTGCTCTGACAAAGTATTTTGGGCGAAGATAACATACGACTTCTATAGAATGTAGCGCCAGAATTACTATCCAAGTCCTTTTAGGAAACTAAGCTCTGAATTATTGCACAGCAGAAGAAGAAGAGATATATTCTACACCCATAAGAGTTACAGGGACGCCGAGCTTTGAAGACACACCTGAGCGACGCCATTGCCACGCGCAATTCAACTAATACAAGGTCATGCAATTTCTGGGTAAATTTAAAAATTATTTTCACAGGTTTCAACATCGTTTGTAAGGATTAGTTCAAGAAACTACTGAATCTAAGAAAGGATCGATATCGTCTCTTGAAGAATTTGATTCCTCGTGTGACGAAGAGACACTCGCGACTTCTCCAGTTTCGAAAATTCACAATTACTTTCTTTACCTGTTTGTTTGTCTGCCTGTTCTTTGTTATTATTTTCTTTTTAGCTTTTGTTAATGAACATAAAACAATATCAGAGCCATACCACGAGCGCCTAGCCATTATGTTAACGGTGAGGACCTCGGTGAATGGACTTACATAAAGGGAGAACATTTCAGATCTGTTATTTAATTTTATTACTTTATTTTATCTGCTTATTAGTTATTTGCCACACTACAATAAAAATTAACGAAGAAGCCTGAAAGCTTAGTTAAATACAACAGTGTGTGGTGATGAAACCTTGATAAAATCACTCACTTCACAGTTAACTTACGTGAGCCCAAATATCAGTGCTGTTGTTCACGAGTCTGACTCGAGCGTAATGACCAACCAATTTTATCGACGTCCCAGCTCTTACCATACATTCGTTCCCTCGATTAACTATGGTCTGTAAGCATTTGCCTGTCTCTGTTCTGGCAATCTAAAAGAAAAACTAACAACAAAAATTTTTTTGACGGGGACTCCAAGAAAACGAAAGAAAACTTGTGCTTGCATACAATGCCCTTAATGGCGAAAATAAAGAACATAAATTAATCAAATTGTCTACAAAAAAATGCCTGTAGTTTTTTATTGCCTATTTTTATAACACCTATCAATATATCGCTCAATTTCTTTTCTGGACTTATTTTTTTGGTCTGTGCTCTTAGTTTGTGTATTTTCTTAACTCCTCTGAGCTTTTTCCCGTGTTTCTGCCCTTTCTTGTTTCGTTTTTCTTTTCTGCGTTTTTTACTTGTTTATTTGTTTTTGTCTTTTTTTAGCTCCTGATCTGCTTGTGAGTTTGATTGCTTTCCAATGCTCTGGGTTTGCAGTATTTAAGATATTTTACAATCAATCAATCTCATCTTTTAAATAAGTAACAGATTATAGTTATAAGTTGGCACACTCTTCTGTTTCATGCAATACGTCCATTCTGTCCAACGTACACAACATGCCGGCCCTATTAATTTGCAAAAACAAAGTGATATTTACTCTTATTAATTCTTAGCGTAAAAAATACTGAGTGCTTGAAGTGTTATGAGCCAAGGTTGCACAATCCGACAGCGCATCTCCTCCCAACCCGTTTTAAAAGGGATAATGGACAATTTTCAGAAATGCCAGAGCAAGAGCGAGTTTCTTACAAGTAAAAGTGTTACATATTACAGCTGAAAAACTCTCTGTCTCTTTTACTATTTAGTAGAAACAGAAGAGAGTTTTTTTTTTATGTTTTCAGAGATCCATCGTGGTTCAGTGGAAATAACCTCCGTTTGTATCTAAATACTCCAACGCAAAACGTACATAGAAACCTCTCATACTAGCTGATGTAATAATTATTACCAATATCACTAATATTAGTATGATGTATAAATATCCAAATGTTATATACAGGAAGAGTCTAATGCGACTTCGAAAGCGCATGCGCAAAGCTAGTGAGCTAGTTAATTATATTTCAAAAGCAGCTGCGTAGCTTCTACATGTAATCCCCTGATTATCTCGCCAATTCAAAATCTTGTTAGCCTTCAGGACAAATGATATCTCCTTTAAGGTCATCAAAGTTAATGTGACCCCAAGAACAGTCACTCTGGTCAACGAGTCTGACTTGGGCGTATTGACCAGTAAACTCCTCTACGTCCCAGCTCTTACGGTACATTGTCTCCAAACAGTTTCCTGTCTCATTTCTGACGACCTAAACCTAACAACAAATTTAAACAGTTTTTTAAACCTTGTTTAGGCGATTGCTGACGCATCTAGCATGACTGTATCATACATTAATTGACTTGCAATCTTTAAACTTAGGGAAAAAGCTGTCGTTTCGAAGGGGGGTAAGCCAGAGACAAATAGAGTGAAATATTAATTTGCAGACTTGTAGTTTGCTATCTCGTAGACTCTCCTTTAAGGAAGCTCAAAATAAGCCATTTTTAAATCTAAAAATATTTAGAAGTAAAAACTAGGTCGGATCGTCATCAAGGTCATCATCGTTCACATTGATGATGACCAAGAGTTAGAAATGTTTGTCGTTTACTTTTTAAATATGATTTTCCTCGGGAAGATCTCATTTTAAATCTAGGCGAACTTTACGGACATCACGAAGCCCAAAATGGTTTTGCAATGTTGAATGACTAAATCTCTGATACCTTGATCAATCTACCTTGGCTGTTTCAAAAGAACCAAACGAACAGAATGATCACAGTGCATAATCTCACCTTGTTATCGACTATGAGTTCTGCACGAACTCTATTTAATTTACATCCCCCACCAATGAGAAACGAAATACTCTTGCCGACGATACTAAAACATGGTGAAGTGAGAGTTCCATGGGGTTCGTCGCCTCCTTCTGGATGAAGTACTCCTACGGCATCGCTCTCTCTGGGCCGTTTCTCTGCTCCCCCTATCCACCAGCTCCCTTGTTGTTGGGCGCTTTGTGTGTGGCGATATGCTGGATTGTCACCAAATGTTGGTTGGTAAATGAAAGCTGTGCCGGTCATTTCCCACTCCCCGATTCCATCTTCAAAGTCAAAGCTGCAAGCTGAAGGAATTACAGAAAATTTTACTTCACGAAAGGTTCTTCAATGGCTAAAACTCATTTCATTAAATTATTTAATGATTACCAGTCTTGCAGCGTGCGCCAGTGAATCCAATAGGACATTTACAACGAAATCCTTTAGCAGTGTAGCCGGCTTGACACGTGCCATTATTCAAGCAGGGACTGCTGCTGCACGGATTCTGTTGAAAAACAAAATAAATAGTTTACTGCGATTATTTCCAATTGCTTTGCTTGTCCTTGAGTTCTTGTGATGCTTAAAGAGCTTAACCGTATTCAGGGTACGTCATCTTTGGAGCTTGGTACCCGATAGGAGGCCATTAGAAGCTTTTCTTAAACTTTATTTGGGAATTGCATAGTAAGGAATCACTAATCTTACCTCAATAGCAAGATAGATGTGACCTTTTTTACTTCGCAGAACAGGTGAGCTTTGATTTCCCTTTGCAGAATGATGGTGATTTAACTCGCAGGTGAAGTTTCCCCCTTCCTTGGGTCCAAAGTTCATAGAAACACAGCTGGGCTCCTGATAACACATTTCGTTACAGCTCCCCTGATGCGAAACCTCTACAGTTCTGATTACGTTGCCCTTCATGACTTTGTCATGTATTGGTGTTTTGAAAATAATGGTGCGACATTCAGCACCTGTATAAGTATTTAAGAAAGGCTTTGATTTTAGTTTAAATATTTAATGGAATTTACGTCGAAGATCAGAGTGATCTCTGCAACACTATTTCAGTAGTAGCGAGAAATAAGGCCTGAATAAAATCAGGATCGCGGGCGAGTTGAACTCATGACCTGTGCGATTCGGTACTAACTGAGTACTGAAGCCAGATGGCATCGTTATTTACTTTACGAATCAACCTTGGTAAATTAATTGCTCATTTTGCTTATTTGTTGTTTTTTTTCTAGCGTATCTAGATGTATCTTAGCAAAAGTCTAGATATATGGACAGAGGTTTAGTGTTCATAATCGTCATCAATGAGCAATAATATGTACTTTCTATTGACTGTCAAATCGTGGGTTGGAGTTTTGAAAATTTCATAGTTCTGTCGGAGATCTGAAAACAATTTGTAGACAGAAATTGAACAGTTAAAGCAATCACAACAAAAAAGAGAGAGGAGAGAAGTCTCATATAGCATTTCTACCCACTTATGTAGGAAAACGTGCAAGTAAGGTTCGATATCATTTGCTTGACCATTTCTTCCTAGTATTCGCTTAATGACGCACAATTACAAGAGAGTTTCTATTTTTTTAGCCGTCACTCAGCCATTGCCTTCACACCAAAGGTGGTCACCAATTTCATACATTTTAATTTGTTCAAGAAGTAAGTAAACCAACTGATGGCAAATGAAGCACTTTTTTGGAAGTTTTAGGATCGATTTACCTGAACAAAACCCTCCAGTTACATGAAGTCCCTCCTTGCAAGTGCAACCATAAGAGGTATTAGTGTTTATGCATGTCGCCCTCACACCACAAACTTGGCTGTTATGGGCGCACTCGTCAATATCTTTAAAGCAAGTTGTTAAGTTATACAGATGAAGTAACATGTTTTTGATCAATGCAATAACGACAATAATTGTGGTAATGATATCAAAAATTGTAATAACGATAACATTAATAATAATAATAATAATAATAATAATAATAATAATAATAAAGACGGAGAAACTAAACCAAGGAGATGGCCCATTTCCGAATTGCCTTTAGCCTCTTTTTCAAAGCGAGTCCTGGTGCTCATCCTTTCGTATGGTAATAAGTTTTCATTCACATGCAAATTAAACTCATTTTCATACGTATCGTTGAGCACCAGTCCTCGTTTTGAAAAAGAGACCAAACGTGATGCGAAAATGGCCTATTATGAACATCATCTGCCCACTATTGACCACTTTGAACTGTATGAGTTTATGAAGGAGTAAACTTGTCTGTTGTAAAAACCACCAAACAATTTACAGAAGGAATATCGACCCAACTAGGGAACGCTGTTGGCCAATTGCAATTGTGAACTTATCATAATATAACCTTTATGAGCAAATAAGGTTACCATTGATAACGGCAGACATTAAAGCAACACTTGATACTGTCGGCAGGGCCAAGATTGACTTAGTAGTATTGCTACTTGGCCTCGTGGAGATTGTTGGTGGAGTTGAAGGTGAGCTAGAAAACTCTGTGAAAAGAATAAACAGAAAAGAGTGAGTTAAGATATTTCCTTCTTAGTGTCTAGCTTTAAAAAGAAACCTCTTCTCTACTTGTTACTAGAGAAAACAGTGGACCATTTTATGCTCTAGTTTCTTTCCATGATAAATAAATCTGCGTAATTTTGAATATATGCCTGAAGATACACGGTTAAAAATGTACTGCCATTCGGTTTCGTGGAGGCATTTGCCTGTTTTGGAGTTGTACTTGGCAAGTCTGGAAAAGGAAAGGAAGTGGTGTATACCCTTGCTATGAGGTGTTATCGTTTGTCTCTCGAGGGTGTCGCTTCCAATGTGAAATGCAACCTTTTCAACTGCACACTGCTAGTTTTTTTTCCGGCGCTAAGGTCCCGCGTATTTACATTATCTAAAGAACGCTATTATACTCACAACCTAAGGAAAAGAAAATCGTCACGATCACAATTAAATGAAAAAAAACATACAAAGTAGTCAATCATATTGCCACCAGGTGTTGTGGACGTTTCCGGCTCGTTTGGGGCTGAATTGGCAAGTGCTGGAAAATAGTAACTTGCCTGTAATTTTTATTAGAAAAAAAAAGGTTGTAGGTAACCAGTGGGAGGAAAGTCTTTTTTTTATCGTTGTGATTATTATCCTAGTAGATATTTTTTGGCCTTGCATGTAACCATCAATGAAAAAACCAAAAAACAAACAAAAAGAAAAATTATTGATGAGGCTATAAAAGAATGCCGATATTTAGCAATTGGGAAAAAAAAATTGAATTTTTTTACCATTACCTTCACACCGGTAACCTTTATACGTAAAGCCATTTTGACAGGAGTGACGTAGAGGACAGGGATTCTTCGCACAAGCGTTCTAAGATTTAAAACACCAAATGTGGTTCTAAGTATTTGCTTCTCATAATGTTTTTCAGGAGTCTCATGCTGACCTTCGCAAGCTCATAAGAGAGTACAAAAAGTTATGAAGCTACGAATGCATCAAAGGAAAGAAAAAGATCTATGTTGAATAAAAAGTATGACAAAGTGATCCTAACTTGAGAAGAATCCATACCATATGGTCGCTCTCCTTTCATTGCAAACCCCCTCAATAAATCAGACTCAATAAGTTCATTGCACATTATGAACTGTTTTAAATCTTGCTTGTTAAGGAAGCTAACCTCAGTTGAGTGATAGTTGAAGCCATCTATTGGCTTGAGCGCCTCAGGATGCATCTCATGATCAGAATCACTCAGTTCACACAGATAAGCTCCATTTTCCTCCGAGGGACCAATGTTGACAGACAAACAGTTGTGTTCCTGAAAGCATCTCACTTTACATACACTTTCTCTTTGTACCTCGAC